TTGCTTGAGAAGATGTAAAGATAACTCGTCTAGTCTACTTGAAGGTAATCAAGGTATATTGCCTATTTGATTGCGACGTTTATTGTTTCTATTTCGGCAAATAATGAGCATGCTTAAGCTCAATTTTTGCCAAAAATGTATTTTAGAATAGTGATTTATGGATAAAGCGTGGTTAGAAAAATAAGGAAATTTTTAAATTTGTTTGTAATATTATTTTATTAAAAAATATGCGGTTAAAAATGAGAAAGAAAAACGTCTTTTGAGTGTTTATGTAAAAAAGAGAAGCGATGGATATATTCAAATGGATTATGCTACTATTACATAAAAATGGTATATAAGGAATTGCATAAAATGATGTAGATGGAAAAGTTTTGATGAAAAAGTTAAATATGTTATAAACGGCAAATGGTAGTGATGCTACTAAAAATCGTATATGTTTACTTATGAGTTTGATGATTGAGAATGAGTACGAACGAGATTTTCCAGTGCCTGAAACAAAGAAGTCGAGATGTGTTCTCATCGCCTCTCCGATACTTAAGTTAGAGAGAAAATTCTCGAAAAGATATGTGCCATAGAATTATATAAAAACGTGCCTTAATAATGAATTGAAATGATATATTTATAGAGGTAGGTAGTACATTCCTAGTATGATTGCTATGTTAAAATCCCTAAGAGTTCTACCGTGATTGAAAGTTGTAACTTAATTAGTTTTGTATTACCTATGTGTTTGATCAGAGATGGGACTCTGATGGTAGAATCATTTCTGGATTGTGTTACATATTAACAGCAAGATTATGTCTCCCTTAGGTTTGGATATGCCTTAGCAAGAGGGAGTCAAGGGATGCCTGGCACGAGGTTTGCTGTGATTTGGAGGAAGTCATATGACCCGAGAATTGACCACCCCGAGGAGGTATGACCGAGGAGGCCATGAGGAGTTTGAGACAAAATGGAAAGCTCATGCTTGGGCATTGTGCTCCATCAGGTAGAATGACATGTCGTATTATGTAATTCCTTAAATAAACTTTTATGTACATGTAGTAAGATCCATATTCAAATGGAGAACTTAAAAGTCATATCATCTTGGAACTTGATGAAGTTGAAAATCATATTAGGCGAATGTAATGGTCACTCTATTATCACCACACTAACATTTCCGACGTTGTATGTCATAATTCATATTCTACACTTCACATTTTACGCAAATCCATAGAGCCAGTCCTGTTGAGCTCTTTGCTTTGATGTCATGCTAGCAAAAAAAAAAAAGAAACTTTAGTGTTTAGTTGGACTTGATCGCTTAAGCTTGAGCTCGACCTTTTCTTAGCAGTCGATTGACCAAGTGACATTGGTCAGGTCAGCCTAGCCTTCAAATCTTCTAGAGTTCACTCAACTTTCTAAGCTCGACTGACCATTTATTACTCGACTTTGTCCCTAGCTTATCTTTCACATGGTTCATGGATTCTTTAGAAAGATATTCAATATTTAATTGAGCTCAACTTTTCTACACCTACAACTAGGGATGGTAAAAAGCTTGTCGGCTCGGGCAGCTCGAAAAAAGTCCGAGCCGGGCCGGCTCGGCTCGGGCTCAGTTACACTAAGCCGAGGCTCTGGTTGAGCCCCATTTTGGGGCATCGGATCGAGCCTGCCCATTAAAAAAAATTAAAATTTTTTTAAAAGAGTTGCCGCTCTGGCCTTCAATAAAAAAAAAACTCGAGCCGGCCCGTTAAGCCTCAAGCCGAAAGCTCGGGCAGAGCCTCATTTTTTGGCCGGGCTTTGCTCGGCTCGGGCTCAAAAAAAATCGAGCAGAGCCCGAGCTTTTTTTTCTACTCGAGCTCGGCTCGGCTCGGCTCGGCTCGTTGACATATCCATTTATTCATCTTTCATTTCTATCCTTTAATAATTTCAACAACTTATAATTTTTCTAAACAAACACTAATGACTTGATTTATCGCTTCTGTATTTCAAGTCTTAACATTTGAAGAAAATTTGTCGCAAAGTATGGGCCATGTAGAGCGAAAATGTGTGTTGCTTTCTTAGATTGATGGTTTGTGCCAGATCATGTCCCCGTTTGACCTCAATCTATATACCAATACATTGTCTTTTAATCGCTTTGATCGAAAATATTTGGCCAATTTGCATCTAAACGACAAAGTAGCCAACATACTTCAATTCAACTCCATCCCTCCAACACCACATGTAACTTAGTGATATCCGATTTCATTGATTTGAATTTTACACAAGTTTCATTAGAAATAACCTTTAATTAATCTTAGCAATAAAGTAAACGAAGTGACGGAGAATAATTTGCAGTTATTTTATAAAATATTTTTGAAACGCGAGCTTTACAAGGATTATTAAAGTAATAGATACAAAATTTTGCATGCCAATCAGAAAATACAAATATCAAGTTATAAAGTTTATGTCGTGAGACAAGAGGTCAAGAACTATGTCCAATTCATACCCGACTCTATAAATTCAGAACAAACATACGCGAATTATCACTAACCTTATAATTATAGTTGTACGGTGGTAAAAAAAAAAAA